TACAGTGCATTCCAGGGCCTGATGCGGGAATAAGATTCGGCTGTTAGGTTTCCACGTGCAGCGGGAGATGAGGAATTATCTAAGATGGGGCCTGAGCGTGGGTGCAGCTGCCGGGAGAGGGCTGGTCTGGGACCCGCACGGTGTCGCGCAGCTGCGTGGTATTATATAGAGTAGGGGCTGGGGAAGAGAAAAAAAGGGTAGAGCGTCAGGGACCCCCTTAACTTTGCCTCTAGGAGAGTTTGACATAGCTTCAGCCCGAGGCACCCGGAATTCCTGGGTCCCTCCTCGACCACCACCACACAGGCTTTACGCGTTGTGGAAGGCGGACACGAGGGACGGCAGCAGGTGCGAGAAGAAACCTCCAGCGGGGCTCAGGAACCCTGGGCTCCGGGTTGTAAATCAGAGCACCACGTCTCAAAGGGAGGCGCCCAGGGGATGCCTCCGCCTCTCATTCTCAGTTGGTGAGCAAACGGACAGAGACGCACTAACGTGGAACGTTCTGGAAAAGCAGCTCTTGGCTTCTGCAGATGGGGTATCTCGGGCTGTTCAAGGGGGCCTCCGGGTGGTTTTGGAGGGATGATTTGCTCAACTTTAAATAAAGGCGGCAGCAAAGTAAACCAAAAGGCGGCAGCCCTTCTCTTGAAGCAGGCATTTTCCCGGTGGCTGCTGCCCCCTGCTGACAAAATCGGAATATCGCGGCCTCCGTGCCCCGCCGAGGCCACAGCTCAGGGCTCCACTTTGCATTCCGGGCGCGCAGAAGGTGAGTCAATCCCATTTCCTCTGCCCTTTATTGAGATGGCCACCGCCAAGCAATGCATCATTGGAGCCATAAACAACCAGGCCCACGTGAACAGTGGAAAAAAGAACAGCAAAGGTCATTACCAAGAGAAAGCAGTGCACCAGATGCGACAGTACATTATAGGAAATTGTAAAACAGAACGGCACAGCCGCGTTATAAATCTCCCTCCACGGAGTCGTCGCCACCCCAGTGGCTGTTCATCAGAGCTGGTGCCCACTGAGTCTTACTACGTGTCAGGCGTCCTGGGGACCCCCTGCATGTGGTGACCCTCCTGAGCCTCAGTGCGCCTACAGGAGCAGGTGGGAGGAGGTTGAGACAGAGGCAAGGTGGCAAGACAAGGATTAAGCCCAGCAAGCCGGGGCCCAAGGCCTTGCAGATTTCAAGTGCGAAATCAATATCCTTTATTCAGTGGGTTCATACATCTAAATCAGTGCCTGTCACCCGAGGATGATTTTGCCCCCGAGGAGACATTTTTGGTGGTCTCAGCAAGGGAGCTTGCTCTGGCTTCTAGTCGGTAGAAGACAGAGGTGCTGTCAAACATCCCATATTGCTCAGGACAGCCCCCATAACAAGGAACTCTTCATCCCCAAATGTCAATAGTGCCGAGGTAGGGAAACGCTGATCTAAATACATAAAATTCCTACAGATCTCCTAGCTCTCTCTTTTTGGCATTGCCTCTGGCACGAGGGCACTTGAGCAAATCTTCCTTAATGTATGAAAGGTATTCTTCTTGGCTGGTCTGAAGGTAGTGAGTTATCTCAATTGATTGTTCAGTCAGTTACAGATCGAACTCCTTGTTCTACTCTTTCCTCCTCCTACTCACTACTGCACTTGACTAGTCTTAAAAATAAAAAAAAAAAAAAAAGGTATTCTTGAGGATTCATGCAGAATAACTCCCAATTATTTAATTTCCCCTAAAACCTCCTATTTACCCAATTGTTGGATTGTATCCAACAGTTCTGCTGTTACACCATATAAATGACAGGACTGTGATGGGGCCCGGGCAGAGGGAGAATCCCCTGGCTGTCACGGCACAATGGCGAAGGGCCGTGGGCCCTGCATTGGGCACGATCAGCCCTGGCACTGTGCGTGGAATATTGCTGTTGTCCCTGGCAGGGAGCCGCGGCTCATCTGCATGCTTCTCATCAGAGATGTTGGGACATGGTCAACCCCAGGATCACTGACCGGTTCCTGGGAACAACCTGTCAGCAGCTGCTCCACTCCCCTCTTACCCAAAGCCCCGGTAATCAGCCCCAGCAGTCTAGTCCCTGGCTTTGGGAAGCAGCACTGTTAACCCTTCCTCTTCCACAGAGCATATGGGTGTAGCTAGGGGTGCAGGCTGGGGGTGGGAGAAGACCCAGGATCAGGTTACCCCTATCTGAATGGTCACGGCACAACCCCCAGCAATAAGCCCATTGCCCGCCCAAAAATTGGTATTCAGAAGTTGGTGCTTATGGAATGAATGAATGCATAACAAGAAGGGTAAACCCTATGAGAGTCATTCATTCATTCTTAAGAATATTTACCGAGTGCCTGGCCATGCAGGGACTGTCCTAGATACTAGGTGAACAAAGGAGACCAAGTGTCGGTTCTCATGAAGTTTACCTTCTAGTGGAGGGTAACAGATACCATACACATAAACTAATATATATGGAATACAGTTGGCCCTCTGCATCCACGGGTTCCACATCTCTGGATTCATCCAGCTGCATATTGAAAACGTTTGGGGAGGCCAGGTGAGGTGGCTCATGCCTGTAATCCCAGCACTTTGGAAGGCTGAGTAGGGCGGATCACGAGGTCTGGAGTTCGAGATCAGCCTGGTCAATATGGTGAAACCCCATCTCCACTAAAAAAAATATATATATATACACAAAAAATTAGCCAGGTGTGGTGGTGTGCACCTGTAGTCCCAGCTACTAGGAAGGCTGAGGCAGGAGAATCGCTTGAACCTGGAAGGCAGAGGTTGCAGTGAACCAAGATGCACCACTGACTCCAGCCTGGGTGAAAGAGCGAGACTTCATCTCAAAAAAACAAAAAAAAATTAGTTGGGCATGGCAGCACATGCCTGTAATCCCAGCTACTCAGAGGCTGAGGCAGGAGAATCACTTGAACCCAGGAGGTGGAAGTTGCGGTGAGCCGAGATTGCAGCACTGCACCTGGGCAACAAGAATGAAATTCTGTCTCAAAAAATAAAAAAGAAAACCAGTTCTCAACATGAGCATCTGTCGGAATCACCAGGAGGGCTTATGGAAGCAGACTGTGGGCCCCACCTCTGGAGTTCAGCTGGTCGGGGTGGGGCTTGGGAATATGCATTTCTTAGCAATCCCCAGGTGATGCTAATGTGACGGCCCAGGGATCAGAGCGTGGGGTATTTGTTCTTCCTGCGCCAAGTCCTCTGCATTCAACATTGACAACATGCAATCATAGATCATCACTGCCTGATCATCTGCCACTCCACTGGGCTTGATGGTTCTGTCCACCTCTACGTCCCAGTGTTTAGTAAGCACTCAACAGAATATTTGTTGAATGAATTCCTCAAACAAGGGTTCTACTCTGGACCTTGCCATTCCACCGTGTATTCCATCTCCTGCCCTCCCAGAGCTCTGAGCCTTTGCACGTGCTGACCCATCCACCCAGCATTCGCCTTCCTGTGTTCACCTCGCAAATTCCTACCACGCTCTCCTTCCAGAATATCCTTCCCGACTTCCTCTCCACCCACCCGGGGTGAGGAATGCTCCTGGAGGTGTAGGGAGTTCTGTATCCACCTGTGGCACAGTGACTTGTCCACATGTTGCTCTTCTCTTTACCAAAGATCACAGATGGGCAGCCCCCAGGGTGAACCGCACTTGCCATAACACCAGGAATGAATCCCAAGAAAAGAACGTTTCAGACAACTTGAATTGTTTTACTCCAGATTCGGAGCCGAAACTGTCAGTTATTCATGGAGTGTGCGTGTGCATTCCCCGACACAAGGCTGGTGGTCACCCTGAGATGCAGAGTGGTGGAGAGGTGGAATGTTTTAGGTGTCTGGAGGGAATGCGGAGCCTTGGCACGGGCATCTTTACTGAGGGGCTGCTCTTCCCGTCAGCATCAGCCGTCAGAAATCCCAGGGGTCCCGAGAGAGTGAGGACTGGGGATACCTTCGGCCAACCAATGACAGCGATGATAAACCAAATCTGTCCAGATAAGCTTCGTCTCTCTCATGCACCCCGCAATCACTGGTGAACCTACTCACTCACAGGTTTCTCTCCTTCCATCCCCACAACTACCTCACGAGGGGGGTTCTCCTAGGCCGATCCTGAGAGGCTGAGAGATGAGTTAACTTTCCCAGGCCAGAAAGACGGCAGTGATTTAGGTCTCTCACTCTCCAACCACGTGCAAGAGGCACCCCTAACCCGGAAAACGGTCGCGTAGACAGAGCCTCCCTGGGTGACGGCGTCGTGGTGAGCGATGCATCCTCCTTTTGCAAGACAGTAAATGGACTAAGGGGAAAGTACGCCGTCCAGTTCCCGAGTCTCACCGCTCAGCCCCATCAAAGTGTATCCGTTCTCCCTTTATTCACAAACATCGCTTGAAACACCTTCATTTTTAGATTTTAACGCTCATAACATCTTTGGGCTTTTAAATGAGATTTCCCTGAGGGATGCGGGGCAGGAACTGAACTTCCTGACGCACTATGATAGCCCCGCTGCGCAGAACCCGGGAACCGGGGAAGCCACTAGAACCGCTGCGAACTCAAACGAAGTCAATAAGGCCTCAGCAGCGGCAGCCTGGCCCACTGCGCTGGCGTCGCCCGGCCCACTGCGCTGGCGTCGCCCCAGGACGCCTAGAGCCCGACCTGCTAAGAGTGCGCCCCTGGTAGGCGAACCCACTTCCAGAAGGACAGCGGGAGTGGCGAATCCCCATTCCTCCCGAAGACGGGTTAAGCCAGCCTCCGACCAGTCAGAAAGCTTCTCTTACCGCTTCTGTCGGCCTGACGTGAAGACTTCACCTCGGGACTCTCTGGCACCGCAGGGGCGGGATATAAAGCTGACTGACGTCACTTACAACCATTTGTCCAGCAGAATGAACTTGAAGAACAAATAACTCTACGAATTGTGTCTCAAGAAAAGGCTATTATCCCCGCCCCCTACTTCCATTGGATCTTTGCAAGCCCTCGAGGGTGGGAGCTTTTGGTGACAACCAATCGAGGGTCAGCGAGGAGGGGGAGGCGGGGCAGGTGGGTTATGGTTGCCTGGAGTGTGCGTTTGGCGCGGTACTTGGGGCGGGAGGAGATCCTTCCCTGGCCCCGCTGGGGAAGGCTGGGCTGAGGAGCTGGGCCGGGAGCACAGGCCGTGTCCGCTCGCTTGCATATTTTCAGACTGCTGTGTCGGGCCTCGAGCCGGACCAACCTGGAGCCCCCCCTACCCACCCGCTCCCAGCGCCCATTATCTGCCCACAGCCCAGGAGGGCTGGGCTCGGTCATCCCCAGCCCCGCCACGGCCACCGGCCCTTGAGATCAGCCCTCCCCACCTCCCCGTTCCAGGCCGGCCCAGGGCCCGAAACCCACCCACCCGCGCCTCTAGCAGCCGCTCTTGTCCTCTGGGTACGGCTCGCGGGAGTGTTGGTTACCATGGTGAAGCTGGCAGCCAAATGCATCCTGGCAGGTGAGTCTGAAAACTTGCGCTTGAATACAGCGGTCTCTGGAGTCCCGAGCCTTCAAAATTCATCCAAAGCTTTTGTTCACCTAAATTTCCTACTTTCTTTTCCTATCTCTCTCCCAAAGGCGAGTTACTGCCATTACTGATACAGTAAATTACATTAGCCGCGGAAGAATGATCCTCCGGGGCACATTCGCAGCTCCAGCGGATTCCCCCTGCTCCCTGCCATACGCTGAGACCACCTTCACTGGTTGAACTGACTCGTTAAAAAATCACTAGTTAAAACTCTGGAGCAGCAGACTCGTTAAAACAGAACTTAAGCAAACCTTGAGTCCTTCAGCTAAACATTTACTGTACCCCAAAGTTAGGCTCAGTGACTTTGGTGATCTTTACTGTGGGATTTTTTTTTCCCTTGACCTCACCCCCTCTGATAACAGTGACAGGAGAGTAGTGACCAGAGGCAAAAGGCACTTGTGTGTTGTCTTTAAGACCCAAATTTACTGTGCTGCCGCACTCAAGAAGGACATAAATGTTGAGTCTCCCAAAGGCAGCAATTTTGTTTTGTTGACTGATGCATCCCAAGCGCCCAGAACAATGCCTGGAACATAGTAACTACTCAATTAATACTTTCAGAATGGATGACTATGTGGCTTGCATATTTTTAGTGCACCGTATCAGTCTGCATATTTAGAAAAACAATAGCTTGGATTATAGGCCTTTGACTACACGAAACACATATGCATGTTACTGGATCCTTACTGTGTACGAGGCACACGTATTTCATGAAATCGTCCCACTGTAGCACTCTGGACTAGGTACTAGATCTGCCCAACTCCGAAACTCTTAACTCGTGTTTTCGTTGAAAGCTGTGACCTTTCCAGGCCTCCCCACCAGCTCGGGAAAGAAGTAGTGAGAAATTACATAGAGAAAAAGAGATTCCTTTTTTTAAAAAGTCTCCTCTTCCAGACTGAAAGTAAACGATCATATTTTTAATGGCTTTTATAATTTGAAAGTAAAAGGGTCACATAGAAAGATGACTGACAGTGGTAACTGAATCATACTGGAGCAAAAGAAATTAGTGGTTCTCAGGAGAGTCTCCTGTTTCCAGAGCACCAGAGGAGGCAGTGTTGTGTAACAAAAGTAATTCTGCCCGTTCCTCTTACTGGCTGTGTCATCTTGGACAAAGCACTTTTTTGAGCTTTAATTTCTTTATGGATGAGGTGGGAACATTATTTTCTGAAGTTATATATATATTTTTTTTAAATGGGCTTATCTCTGTTCTTTTTAAATTCGGTTTTCAGCATGGAGCTAACTTACTGATCAATTTCTGTACATCAACTCTGGGATAGACCCTCGATTACAGGTGGTCTCACTGAATCCTCACAGCAACCCTGTAGGATTGGTAGCATTGCCATCCTCATTTATAGATGAGGTAACTGAGTTCCAGAAAAATGAGAACATTTGCTGTGGGTCACACAGCTGGAAGCGGCAGAACTGTATGATCCAGACCCTGGCTTCCGACCTGATTTCCAGGGCTTTAGCCCAAGCTACGCTGTCCTCAAGCCATGATCCTCATCCTCTGTTCCTTTATTTATTTATTTATTTATTTTTTGAGATGGAGTTTCCTTCTTGTCACCCAGGCTGGAGTGCAATGGCACAATGTTGGCTCACTGCAACCTCCGACTCCCAGGTTCAAGCAGTTCTCCTGCCTCAGCCTCCCAAGTAGCTGGGATTACAGGTGCCTGCCACCACAACTAACTAATTTTTTCATATTTTTTGGTAGAGACGGGTTTCACCATGTTGGCCAGGCGGTCTTGAACTCCTGACCTTGAGTGATCCACCCGCCTCAGTCTTCCAAAGTGCTAGGATTACAGGTGTGAGCCACCATGCCTGCCCCCCCCCCCTTTTTTTTTGACACAGTTTCACTCTCACCCAGGCTGGAATGCAGTGGTGCACAATCTCAGTTCACTGCAACTTCTGCCTCCCAGGTTCAAGCAATTCTCATGTCTCAGCCTCCCAAGTAGCTGGGATTACAGGCACATGCCACCATGCCCAGCTAATTTTTGTATTTGTAGTAGAGATGGGGTTTCACCATGTTGGTTAGGCTGGTCTTGAGCTCCAGACCTCAAGTGAGTCCCCACCTCAGCCTTCCAAAGTGCTGGGATTATAGGCTTGAGACACTGCGCCCGGCCTGCAGCCTCTTTTCAAGGCCTCCGCAGCATTTCCTCTTGAAAGTTTCCGGGGACCAAAAGACCTCAGCCCAGAAATCAGCCTGCTTTGCCATTCCCACCACACGCGCACACACATACCCACACACACCCACACATACCCACACACATCTACAGCATTGGTTTTATTTTTCCATCCATGCCCCATAGCCCTGCTGTTTCAACTGAGTTGCTCTGCTTTTTCTCTCTCATAACTAGTCATCGAAGGAGCTGACCTTCAGTTCGAGTGTTGATGCTTTGAACAGATACTGGCTGAGCACCTACTATGTGTGAGTCACCATGCGAGGTGCAGTGGGAATGCAAGCGTGAGTCAGTTGCACTCAGGAAAAACTAAGACGTGCGTGAGAAGCTCGAGCACAGCGAACATACAGCGAGTGCTCTTTGTGTGCCAGGTCCGGGAAGCACCTCAAGGCACAGCTGCTACTTGTTGTGGTTCTGGAGAAGAGAGGAAACAACATTTGACATTTATCTATATTTTGTTTACTTAAAAAAAAACCCCACTTGCCGGGCGCGGTGGCTCACGCCTGTAATCCCAGCACTTTGGGAGGCCGAGGCGGGTGGATCACGAGGTCAAGAGATCGAGACCATCCTGGTCAACATGGTGAAACCCCGTCTCTACTAAAACTACAAAAAATGAGCTGGGCATGGTGGCGCGTGCCTGTAATCCCAGCTACTCAGGAGGCTGAGGCAGGAGAATTGCCTGAACCCAGGAGGCGGAGGCTGCGGTGAGCCGAGATCGCGCCATTGCACTCCAGCCTGGGTAACCAGAGCAAAACTCCATCTGAAAAAAAAAAAAAAAAAAAAAAAAAACCCACTTAAATAGTACTATCTGCCAGGCATTGTACATATTGACGCATTAAATCCTCATAACAATTCTGCAAGGTAGATGCTAGGATTATCCTATGTTATACATGTTGCAACTGAAGCACAGAGAGGTTAAGTCACTGATTTAAAGTCACAACAGCTAGAAAGCGATGGAACTGGGGTCTGGCTCCAGAGTCTGTGCTTTTAAGTACCATGATATTCTGCCTCTTGATATACATGGAGATAGCAACAGAGCTTCCTGGGAGGGTTTCTCTGACGTCATATCTCACGCTACCAGTAAGCATTGGCCTGTGTTAGCCACACACATAAAGACGGAGGGAGAGATAGCTTTCAGAGGCAGTGCAGGAAGGATATTACTTGAGCTTTCCTTGCAGAGAATGGATGGGTTTGAATTTGGTCTAGGAGAACCTAGAAGGAGTTGGCCTTGAGGAATTTCCAGGAACGGGGCGGACAGGAATGCAGAGCCCAGATCTGGGGTAAGGGATTGTTGAGAGAGTGGGAAGGTGAGGTAGGGCTGACCGTGGGGATGGGTGGGCCATGAGGAAATCCTCAGTGGGTTTGTGTGAAGGTTTGCCAAGATGGAGGCACTGTGTTATGAGGGCCCATCTGTTGATGTCACGCTCTGGGCGGATTAGAGCAGGGAGAAGAAAGAAGAGAAAGGAAGTGTTTTCAGTCACGGCGCAGTCAGGAAGGCAGAAAACGCAGTCATTTCAGCAGAGAAATTTTAATATACGGAATTGGTTCATCAGGTGTTGGAGAACTGAAGAAGCAAGAAGGCAGCACTGAGATGACAGAGTGGCGGATAGAGGTTACGGGTGTCAGAAGCTTGAAGAGCCCAGGGAGCTGGGATCCAGACCCCTGAGGAAGGGGCCCAGCCCAGCTGGTGCTGGCACCTTAGGAATTCAGTCACCCGCTGTGTGACACCAGCACATGCCACAGAGCACCAGGGCCCATTTCCCACTGGGAAGGGCTCAGCCCTGTGTTCAGGGCAAGACGCACCAAACCAGTTCCAAACCATCTTGGAGGGTCTGTGTTTTGAGACCACGCTCAGTACCCAGGACTACACAAGTCAGAGGCCAGGCAAAATCCAGGAACTGTACTCGGCATTACCACAGTGAGGATTTCAGTAGGATGTTAATTACACATGTGCGGGAGGACTGGAAAGAGAAAAGGGACACTGAGGCAGCACAGGTAGTAACTGCAGGAAGGAGGACCACCACCTCCCGGGCTGGGGAAGCAGAGGGAAGCAGGTGGGGTTCTCAGAGCGCAGAAGCAGGGAGGAGGGGCTCTGAGAGCCGAGGTGCAGATCTCTGAGAAGAGGGCACTGCCTGCTGCTGCTGGCTCCTCAGGGGGCAGCAATAAGGCTGGTCTGGGAGTGCAAACACACACACACACACACACACACACACACACACACACACACACACACACGAGACAGGAAGCAGTTAGTGCCGCTAGGGTGCAGGCCATTGCTAGGGTGGTGCTAAGACAAAGGAAAAGAGGCAGGAAGAGCAATGTCCTCTCCCCCGACCCCGACCTTCCCTTCTTCTTCCAGAACCTCGGTTGGCAGAGCCTAACGGGAACCTCCTAACAAGGGAGAAACGTGTCTGTAGAGTCCCCTCCCCAGCACACCATGGCAGGATGGACTCGGGGCTGAGATGGAAAATGAGGCGTGCAGTCTAAGCTCACTGGGGCGGGGTCAGCAGGGAGGCCGAGCAGAGGTGGACTGAGACTCAGCCAAGGAGGTGAGGAATACAAGGGAGGCCACCTGGAGACCGGAGAAAGGAGGAGCAGTCCAAGGTGACCCGTTGAATCTAGGGACAATGAAAATACCCAGAGGCATCACCAACGCATGGGCGAGGGGGGCAACCCGCTCAGGACAAGGGCATGATGGAGCTTGGCTTTAGAGAGACTGAGGTTGGAGGAAGGTCCTTCATTCTAGTGGCAAGGCACACGGGTTTTTGGATATACAGGCAAAGCTTGGGAGGGAGATCCTGCCTTCAGTCAAGGTGACGAGAGTCAGTGGGATGGAGTGGACTGGGAGCACAGTGCCACCAAGGACAGGCCCATGGGAATGCCCACACTCGAGGGGCAGATGTCAGGAGAACCAGGCCAGGGCAGGGTCACCGAGGCCACAGAGACAAGACTGAGGAAGGAAGGGACTGCTTCAGGCTGACTCATCCTTCAGAGACGTCAAGGAGGATGAGAACCAAGAAAAGGCCATCGGCCTTGGCAACTGTGAGGTCACAGGTGACCTCACATCATGTCCTTGCAGACGTCATCCTCTGTGTCCTGCAGAGCCCTGCCTGCTGTCACCCCCAGGCCCAGCCCTTGCCCCTGGGAAGCCTCCCTCACCAATGAACCCTCTCATTCACTTCTTTCTTCGATGCTCCCCAGATGCCTTGGTTCTCAGTTTGTGCTATTTGAATTTGCACTTGTCATCCTGTTGCTCTGCAAATGTGTTTATCAGTTATTTCACCTCCCTGTGCTTCTGAGCCCTCGTAGCCAACACAGGCGGTTTCCCATAAGTGTTGGTGACTCTGACTGACAGTCAGAGGAAAGATTTATGAAATTAAGCAGAACAAATCTGTGGGGAATCTCACAAGCAGGAGGAGCTGATTTCCAGCTGGATTCAGGAGCAGAACTGGAGTTGGGAGGGCGGGCACAGTCAGGGCCCACGGAAGGAAAAGCGATGCGCTCTGTTTGCTCCAAGATGGATGGATGCCCCGTGACAGTCTTGGTGGTGGTTGCCCCAGATGTCATGGAAGGCTGAGGTGAGGAGGCCCTAGAGGGGCAGCATTAAAAATGGGTCAGAACTCACGCGTGTAATCCCAGCACTTTGGGAGGCTGAGGCAGGCGGATCGCCTGAGGTCAAGAGTTTGAGACCAGGCTGGCCATGGTGAAACCCTGTCTCTACCAAAAATACAAAAAGTAGCCAGCTGTGGTGGCATGCACCTCTGGTCCCAGCTACTCAGGAGGCTAAGGCATGAGAATCGCTTGAACCCGGGAGGCGGAGGTTGCAGCGAGCCGAGATTGTGCCTCTGCACTCCAGCCTGGGCGGCAGAGACTCCCTCTCAAAAAAGGGGGGAGGGGTTAAAAGGGGTCCCTGAGCTCTAGGAGAGGAGCAGGGCCTGGGAAGAGCATGAGGTTGGAATCCCGGGCAACCCAGCCTCTCTGAGCCTCGGTCTCTTCATCTGTCAGGCAAGGTTAATGATAGCTTGGGGGGAAAGGAATGAATGAGATTGTGTGACCAGGTCCGTGAGGGGGGCTCAGCACATGTTGGTTCCCTTATGAGGAGTGGTGACAAATAGAAAAGCAGGACCTGAATAGCCCACTCAAACCTGGAGGAGTTCACATAAAACGAAACGCCACCAGCAGTGAAATAATTGTCTTACAAGAGAAAATTATAGGTGGGAAAAGTCAAAACTGAAAAGTGAACAGTGGCAGGCTGTTGAGAAGTCGAGGAAAGAAGCATTGAAGCCGACTGTAAAATGGGAAGCAAAGGTGAAGGGGTGGCACCAAGTGATGCGGGCGGGAAGCTGCGTAGTACGGGGCTGATTTTGCTAAGGACCCAGGTGAGAAGCAGAAAGCACACGTTCTGCCGGGGCCTGGACCGTGGAGTGCAAGTCCACGTGAGACTCGGGAGGAAAACAGATTGCAAATGGACACGATCGGCATTGGAGGAGGCTTGGCAGAGCCAGGGGAGGGAAAATGGGGAGAGCAAAGGGGAATTAAAGATGGGCAGGGAGAGCTTCCAGCTTCCATGACGGGCACAGGAGGAGCTCTGGATTAAATGGCTCCCAGCAGTCTTGTGAAAGACTCAGGTCTCAGACTGAAAACTGCGACATAAACCTTTAGTTCTGAGGGACCAGTTTCTGGGGCTGTTGACCAGCAAAGGAAAGGGAGATCAAGTCAGTAGGCGAGAGATGAGCTTGGTGGAGATGGCTGCTATTGCAGATAGAATTGGTGGAGAGGGGCCGGGCACGGTGGCTCATGCCCGTAATCCCAGCACTTTGGGAGGCCAAGGTAGGCAGATCCCCTGAGGTCAGGAGTTCAAGACCAGCCTGACCAACATGGAGAAACCCCATCTCTACTATACAAAATTAGAAGGGTGTGGTGGCGCATGCCTGTAATTCCTGCTACCAGGGACGCTAAGGCAGGAGAATCACTTGAACCCAGGAGGCAGAGGCTGCGGTGTGCGAGATTGTGCCATTGCACTCCAGCCTGGGCAACAAGAGCAAAACTCCATCTCAAAAGAAAAAAAAGAATCGGTGGAGAGGCCCCTGGGAAGATGAATCCTAGGGTCATAAACAGGCACTCTGTGATTGAGACGGAGCATAGCATTTGGAAACATTTCAGGATGATGAACATAGCCTTACACTTCCTGCTTCCCACAAATGCAGAGACCCTCCCAATCCCCATCCCCCCACCGCAAAAAAGTATTCCGGTGGAAGCTGTCGACCCAGATTGGGTCAGTTGACAGGTGAGTCTGCATGTCAGTGCCAGTCATACTTCTTTACTTTCAAGACTTCAAAGTAAATTCCAGTTTGGAAGTGACAGCTTTTCCCCATAGGGCGCGTTTCAGTGGAAGAGCATCAGTTCTGTTTTCAGGGCCCCAAAGCCCTCCATAAGCTCTGTTATCTTCTGGGTCAGTTCCTGTGGATGAAAGGCTTAGCCGTGCAGAAATGTGCTTTGGCTGTTGTGAGGTTTGCAGATCAGTCTCATTGACCTGTGCCCTGCCCGAGGCCTCAGAACAAGTCCCCGTGAGAGGCAAGTCCATCTTTGAAAACTCATTGAAGTTTCTGGTTTCTAGATGAATGTTCTGCAGCGGGAGATTCTCAAGTCAGATGAGGACTGGGGCGTTGTTTTTTCTGTTCTGACCTAACAGGAGACCCAGCAGTGGGCAAGACGGCCCTGGCCCAGATCTTCCGCAGTGATGGAGCCCATTTCCAGAAGAGCTATACACTGGTGAGCTGGGGCTACAGCTTAAAGACAAGTGCTTGGTTCACCATGAGCGAGTGACTGCAAAGTTCCTTGAAGAAGCCTTAAGTCGGCTGACGAGAGGCTGCTCAAAGGGCCACATGGAGATGGTTTTTTCCACAGCTTGGGGTCAGAGGTCAGCTGCAGAGCAGACTGGCCCCAAGCAACTTGGTCACCATGTGTAGCAGCTCACTTGGGGGCAGGGAGGTGCAGAGGACTAGTTGGTCCCCTCTGACTTATGCACGCTGAGCCACTTCCCAATAAGAGACCCTTCCATTGGAGAGAGCCCTCCTGGGATTGGGGTGCTCGTGTGTTCTCCTGTAACACGCTCCCCCCTTTGGGGGCCTTCAGTGCTAACATTCTTGGTGTTCCTTGGCAGACAACAGGAATGGATTTGGTGGTGAAGACAGTGCCAGTTCCTGACACGGGAGACAGTGTGGTGAGTGATGGCTTTACCCAAGGGAACTCGGGGCTACCCCAGCTGCGCCAGGGTCCCTGTGGTCACACCAGCCTCCCTAGGAGAAATGCGGCACAAGGTGATGGCCTAGGCTTGTCTGAGCATTTTGGAATAGAATCGGGAAGCATTCAAGGGAGGGACTGAGGAGGAGGAGGAAGGAGGAAGACTAGGCTATGGACCTGGCCCTCAATGAGCCTGTTATCTACTATGAAGGTTCTTGAGTCTCTTTATGGGAACCTGGGGCTCTTGAAATCGAATTGTAAGATGTTATGTTTGTGTGTGCTTTTCTTTTCTTTTTTTTTTTTTTTTTTTTTTTTTTTTTTTTTTTTTTTTTTTTTTTT